GCTTTTAAGATGACAGATATTTACAGATCAATTGAAATTTGATCCTGAGGTTGAAAAAGCCGCTCGGAGGAATCGTGGTAGAAAAAGAAGGGAAAATCAAGAACAAGTAACAGGAGAATCAATCAACTCTTCTCCCACACTCAACTTACAAGAACCAATAATTGAAGACATAGAGCGTGAAAGAGCGAATTCAAATCCAAATCCACCTAGAAGGACACTTGGAGACTATGTTATGTAACAAGGTCAATGTCCAAGACATTTTTCCAGCATTGCAATACCAGCCAACCAATCTTTGGAGATGAAGTCAACTTTCTTAAGTTTGATTAGTGCTCATCAATTTACTGGAATAGATCATGAAGATCCTTATATTCATCTATCCACTTTTTATGAGCTGATCAGCACCATGGGATTTAAAGAAGGAGATATTAAATTTGCATACTTGAGATTGTTTCCTTTTTCATTGGCTGGCAAGGTAAATGAGTGGTTGAAAGTACATCCTAATCAGAGTTTGACTAGTTGGGGTAATGTAGAAGAGAAGTTTCTGAATAAATTTTTTCCACCATCCCACTACATCAAGGCAAAATATGACATTTCTACTTTGAGACAAGGAGCAAATGAAATTTTTTGTGAAACATCGGAGAGATTTAAATCACTGTTGAGGAGATGCCTAAATCATGGATTTGAGGACATTGCTCAGTTAAACATTTTCTGCACTGTCTTGAGACGATACAAAAATGTTGTTAGATGCTACAGCAGGAGGAACCATGATATTTGTGGATGTTGAACATGTCACAATAATTATTGATGCACTAGCCTCTATAGACCAGCAGACTCAACATGATAGACAACCAGTTCCAAGGAAATGAGTGTTTGATCTTAACACTACAAATGTTATCCTAGCTTAGAATAAAATTTCTTACTCAACAGATTGAAGCATTGACCAAGCAAATGACAAAACTACCTCAACAATTACATGTCTAATTCACTTACAATCAACAAATGAGTTGTGACTTTTGTGGAGGTGATCATCCAAATGGACACTGCTCTTATCAAGATAACCTACAAGAAGAAGAAGTTCATTATATGGATGCTCAAAGTGGTAGTAGTCAAGGAAGACAAACAAATTTCCCTAATTCCAACAACTATCAGAATAGTTTTTCACAAGAATGGAAAGGAAATCAGAGTCAGAATTTTGGGTGGAAGCAAGGTGTTGGTACATCTAATAGAAAACCTCCAAATCAACAACAGTCATATCAGCAACCTCTATTTCAACAACAACAACAATATTATCCTCTAGTACATGAGAGAATAGCCAAATTGGAAGACACTTTGGAGAAATTCATGCAAACTTCTTTGTCTAATCAGAAAAATACAGAGGCTTCAATTAGAAATTTAGAGACCCAGATAAGTCAATTGGCTAAATAGTTATCTGAATAGCAAGGAGGACATTTTTTAAGCACCACACAAACCAACCCTAAGGAGCATTGTAAGTCAATAACTATATGGAGTGACAAAGTTATAGGTAAGGGGATTGGTGATAATATAGTTGTTGAAAAAGAAGTTCTGGTAAAAGAAGATGAAAAACAAGAAGAGGAGAGTAAGAAAGAAAGATATATCCCTTATAAGAATAATGAAGAGGGAGAAGAAAGACAAAAGATAACAAGAGGAGAGAATAACAAGAATGAACCTGTCCAAGAAAAAGGAGGGAGTAAAAAACCATTTATGAAGAAGTTACCGTATCCCAAGGTTCATTCAAAAATAGACAAAGAGAGACAATTCACCAGATTTATGCATATTTTCAAAAGGTTGCAGATTAATCTACCTTTTGTGGAAGCTATGGAGCAAATGCCAACATATACCAAATTCATGAAAGAACTACTCACTAAAAAGAGAAGATTTGCAGAAAAAGAGATAATAGAATTGGAAGCAGGGTGTAGTGTAATTTTTCTAAAATCATTGCCAACAAAATCCAAAGATCCTGACAGTTTTACTATCCCTGTTACTATTGGTGCATTACCGGTGGGAAAAGTATTACTTGATTTAGGGGCCAGTATAAATTTCATGTCATTATCTATGCTCAAAAGAATAGAAGACTTAGATGTTAGACTAAGTATAATGACTCTGTAACTGGCTGACAGATCAATAAAGATTCCTTATGGAGTAACATAAGATATTTTAGTTAGAGTGGACAAATTCATATTTTCTGTTGATTTCGTGATTATGGACATGGAGGAAGATGTGGAAATTCTATTGATCTTGGGAAGACCATTTATGAATACTGCTAAAATGATTATAGATGTTGACAAGGGCAAGTTGAAAGTTAGAGTGAAAGATGATGAAGTTAATTTTAATTTGTTTGAAGTTGTTCAACACCCAAAAGACAAGCAAGATTGTTTCAGAATAGATACTTTGGAGGAGTTACTCATCTCAAATGAAAAGCAAGTATTCAAGTCAGATCCTTTAGAGAAAGCATTGATGGAAGGATGCTACATTGTGGACATGGAAGAAGATTCGGAAATGAAGGAATGTCCAATGGAGTTAGCTAAAACAAAAGAGATGTCATCCCATAGTGTTAAGGTTGAAGATTTGGGAAAAGAAAAGAAAATTGAAGAAAACAAAGTTGAGTTGAAATTATTGTCCCGACACTTGAAGTATGTATTTCTTAATAAGGAGAGATACAAACCAGTGATAATCAGCAGCTCATTATCTCCAATTGAGGAAAAGAAACTAATAACAATTCTGCAGAATAATATGGGAGCCATAGGGTGGAAATTAGCAGATTTGGAAGGTTTAAGCCCATCCTGTTGTATACATAGGATCTACATGGAACAAGATTACAAGTCTGTTGCACAACCTCAAAGACGTCTCAATCCTACTATGAAGGAGGTTGTTAAAAAAGAGGTGATTAAACTTCTTGAAGTAGGTATCATTTATCCTATTTCTGACAGCAGTTGGGTGAGTCCTGTATAGGTTGTTCGTAAGAAAGGAGGTATGACTATAATTTATAATGATAAAAATGAATTAATTCCTACTAGGACTGTCACAGGTTGAAGAATGTGTATAGATTATAGGAAATTGAATCAAGCAACTAGAAAATATCATTTTTCCTTACCTTTCATGGATCAAATGTTAGAAAGGTTAGTAGGGCAAGCTTTTTATTGTTTTTTGGACGGGTATTCAGGGTATATCAAATAACAGTAGATTCGGGAGATCAAGAAAAACTGTTTTTACTTGTCCTTTTGGTGTGTTTGCTTACAGGAAAATGGCATTTGGATTGTGTAACGCACCAACAACTTTTCAATGATGCATATTAGCAATCTTTTTAGATCTGGTGGAAGAATGTATAGAAGTTTTCATGGATGATTTCTCAGTCTTTGGTGCATCATTCGATCATTGATGGAAAACTTGAATACCGTACTGAAGCAATATGTTGATACCAATTTGGTTTTAAATTGGGAGAAATGTCATTTTATGGTAACTGAAGGTGTGATACTGGGTCATAAAATTTCGGCTAGAGGTATTGAAGTTGATAAAGCAAAAGTGAAGGTTATTGAAAAATTACCACCACCAACAAATGTGAAGGACATCAGAAACTTTCTTAGACATGCTGGATTCTATAGAAGATTTATCAAAGATTTTTCAAATATTGCTACGTCACTCAATAATTTGCTCAATAAGGATATTCCTTTTAATTTTAATGCTGAATGTTTGCATGCTTTTACACAGTAGGAACAAAAATTGATTTCAACTCCTATAATAATTGCTCCTGATTGAAATTTAGATTTTGAATTAATGTGTGATGCAAGTGAAATACCTCTGAATATCATGTTGGAAGTAAAAATATTTGACTGTTGGGGAATTGATTTTGTAGGCCTTTTCCCATCCTTATTATGTAATGAGTACATCTTGATAGTAGTTGACTATGTGTCTAAGTGGGTGGAAGCAGCAACAACCGCAAAAGCAGATGCAAAAACGGTGATAAAGTTTTTAAAGAAGAATATATTTTGCAGGTTTGACACGCCTAAAGTTTTGATCAGTGATGGAGGAAAACATTTCTGCAATAATCAACTCAAAAAATGTTTGGAGCATTATGGAGTTAGACATAAAGTTGCATCACCATATCATCCACAAACAAATGGGAAGCAGAAGTGTCAAATAGAGAAATCAAAAGAATCTTAGAGAAAACTGTTTCATCCTCAAGGAAAGATTAGTCAATGAAGTTGGATGATGCGTTATGGGTTTATAGAACTGGATACAAATCTCCTACTGGGCTTTCAACTTGTTTATGGCAAGTCATGTCATCTCCTGGTAGAAATGGAGCACAAAGCTTATTGGGCTTTAAAATTCTTAAATTTTAACCCTAAAGCTTCAGCAGAGAAAAGAAAAACCCAGATAAATGAATTAGAAGGAATGAGACTTAATGCATATGAATCATCTAAGTTGTACAAGGAGAAAGTCAAGGCATATCATGACAAGAAACTCTTGAAACGAGAATTTCATCTAGGTCAATTTGTGTTGTTGTTCAACTCAAGGTTAAGGCTTTTCCCTAGAAAATTAAAATCCAAATGGTCAGGTCCATTTTTTATAAGAAATGTTAAGCCTTACGGTGTTGTGGAATTGGAAGATCCAGAAACAAGAAGAACATGGACAATCAATGGGCAAAGAATCAAAGCTTATCTGGGAGGTGAAGTTGAAAGACTCACCTTGATCACTTATCTGATTGAGCCATGAAGTAGACAAACATCGAGCTGAAAGACGTTAAACAATCGCTCCTAGGAGGCAACCCAGTGTTTTAAATTTGTTTTCTTTGTGCATTTTAAGTTTTTGGTAGTCAATTGTGAATTAAGTTTGTGTGAACAATATTTGGTTTAGTTGTTAAGTTTTTTATTGAGTCAGCATACAAAATAATTTGTGAAGTTCGTTACTAGAAGTTTTGCATTTGAGTGTCATGTTTTGAGTCATGTGTACTTGCACTGTGGTGGTTGATGAGGCACAACGCGATGGTGGATGTGACATGGGTTAAGGCTGAGGTGGTTGGAGATGGTTTAGCTGGGAGGTGATTTGGTGTCCTAGAGCACGACGATTTGGGAGTGAGGGTGAGTGAAAGTTAAGGAGGGTGAAGATGGGATGCAAGGTGAGATTGAGTTTGTGGGTGAGGTGAAACAGTGGGATTGCAGTGGTGTTATAATGATTATTGGTGGCTAAGTCGCACGACGTGGCTAAGGTTTGCAGCGGTACTCTGCATGGTGGCTAAGGTTGAGGGCAAAAATGAGGGAGTCGCAAAGTGGAGGTAGTTTGGGGTGAAAGGGTGGCTAGCATAAGGTGGTCCATGGTGTTAGAGTTGAGAGGCTTGGTGGAGGGTGGTGGGCAAAGGTTAGGGTGGAGGTGTGATGGATATAGGTTTCAGTACATGCCAGATCCAATAGGAAGAATAATTTGTGCTAAGATGGTTCTCTGACTTATTTGATTAGGTCGATGTTCTTGTTGTTTGATTTGTGGATTGTGACTCTAGATTCAAAAGATCATATTTGATTGTCTGATAGGGCATTGAATTTGCGGAGTTTGATTGGTTTGAGTGGGAATGGAAGAAGGGAAAGTTAGAATTGGGAGGATGACGGAGCTTAAGTACGTGTAGTGTTTGAGTATTATCTTTAACTTATATTTATTTCTAAATGATTCAGTGATTTTAGAGTATAAGACAAACTCAAATTTTTTATCAAAACAATTTGCAAAAAATTAATTGATCCTAAAAAATTAGATGAGTTGGAAAATGAAACCATTAAAATCTTGTGTCAGTTGAAAATGTATTTTTCCTCTTTATTTTTTGATATCATGATGTATTTGATAGTCTATTTGGTCAGGAAATTTCGATTATGTGGTATAGTTTTTCTTAGATAGATGTACATGAAGATCTTAAAATGATATGTGAAGAATAAGTACATGTCAAAAACTTCTATCGTGGAAAAGTACATTGCAGAAAAAAGTCATTGAGTTTTGTTCAGGTACATGTTAAAACAGAACCAATAGGAATTCCTAAGATGAGACATGGTGGAAGATGTGAAGGTAAGGGTACTCAAACTTTAAAGATTAAAAATGTCAATTAGAAATAAGTTGATCAAGCACATTTGTACATATTGAACAATATTGATGAAGTAATATTGCAACACATAAGTGAAATAAAGATAACACATCCGTAAATGAATGAAAAATGGGTATTGAAGAAACATAACAAACATTTTCTTTCTTGGTTTTGGAAAAGGTATATGGTGAGTTTAATGCTTAAGACACACTTTTGAGACTCACTTGTGGGCCTTACAGTGATGTCATTATTTGGTGGGTATGACATTAACAACTATTGTTTCTACTTAATAATAGAAGATGACAAAAGTAGAATACAAATAGTGGGGTTATAATTTAAGTTGAGTCTATGAACTTTTTTGAATTTAAAGACAAAAATCTCATTATAGCATCTGAGTTATTTTTGGGTCATACAAGAAATATCAAAAATCGATTATGTTACGTTCAGGGTGCCTATGTTCAAGTGTAAATGGGTTGATAATAATACGGGTGTGCAGATAGATAATTGAAGATTTACTCTGGTTGATTTGAACAAGGTCAGTTATAAGGACGAACTTTTATTATGACATATCAAGCGAGACAAATATTTTATGTTAAGGATTTATGTAATGAGAAATGGTCAATTGTCTTTGAAGGAAGAAAGATCAATGGAATTCACGAAGATGAGTATATAGATATACATGAGACACTTTCATTTTCAAGTAGAACATTTGATGATCTTTTTGACAATGATATGGATGTCATGCAAGTTAGTTGAAGTGATCATGATGAAAGGATGTGGGAAAATATATCAACATAATAGGTGTTTGTCTATTACATTAATTATTTTGTTATAAATATATTATATTCATTTTATTGAAATTTATTAATCATATTAGTTTTTTAGGATTATGTTGGATTCGACGTTTGACGAGTGACAAAAGCCGAGGTAAATCTACCACCTAGTTGAAGGGGTTGACAGCGAGACCATGTTGTTAGGAGAGGATACAAGTTGACATGGATTACGTGACATTTATTATTATTATTATTTGTATAAGAGTAGCAGGTCACAAAATAAATAAAATATTACATATATGTAAAAGTAATTTACATCACTATATATATATACAAAAGAAGAAGGAATTTTATTTTTGATTCCTTCTATTTTTTCTACAATTTTACAAATATCTACATTACCGATGGAAACAAAGCTGATTAAAGGGTTTTGAAAAAAGGTAGGAGGCATACAAAAGTTAACCACTACTAGTCCATTTAACATAATGAGATTTCCTATATCGGATGCAAATGTTATTGTTGATAATCTTGTCCCTCTAAAAGTAACTGAGTTGTCTATAACGTTCATGTTCCAAGTAGTTCCTAGGAAGAAGGTAGTGATGCTTACAAAAAAGAGATTTGGAATATTTGGCATCTCCATCTACTTAAGTTGATGTTTAAATAAAACATGCACAAAAGATCACAATAGAGAGTGAGAACATTTATCATTTACAATAATACAATCTTATAATATATAGATATATATGTTTCAACTTCCTCAACACATTCTATTTTATGAAGATTTAAATTAAATTTGTAGTGACTAAGCATGATAAATGAGTCCAATTTTAATCACTCTCACAGTGATATTTACTCATTTAAATCTTCAAGGTCCAACCTCCATCTACAATATCATCAAATCTTCACAAATAGATATTATTATAATTGAATAATATAACTATAAATTAATAAATAGGATCGTTGCATTACTAGAGATAAAATAAAGTAAACAAACAGGACCAATACATAACTAGAGATAATTAAAATAGGATTAGTGCAAGACTGGAAATAAAATAAAATAAACAAACAGGCCAGTACATAACTGGAGATAATTAAAATAAGACTAGTGCAAGACTAGAGATAAAATAAAATAAACAAACAGGACCAGTACATAACTGAAGATAATTAAAATAGGATCAGTGCAAGACTAGAGATAAAATAAAATAAACAAACAGGACCAGTACATAACTGAAGATAATTAAAATAGGATCAGTGCAAGACTGGAGATAAAATAAACAAGCATAAGGCAGGACCATTACGTAGTTAGAGATAAATAAACAAATAATTAAATAAATAGAATAAGGTTAGGGACACCTCACTCCACAACTATAAACAAAATAAAATATATTTAATGATAATATTCTCCTCCTCTACCTTACGAATTGCGGATGATGTACCAAAATTTTACAAAGACGATTTTATCTTTCTCTTTCTTTTCTCTCCTTATTTTTAGGGATGGCAAAACGGGTCAGGCCCGGCGGGGCGGGTTGGTGTTTTCGACCCACCGGCCGTTTTGGCCCGCCCCCAAGCCCGCCAACCGCGGGACGAGCGGCCTGACCTGCGGCCCGCTTAATTAATAAAAAAATAATTTTTTATTATAATAAAATTAATTATAAAAATAATATATAAAATTAAAAATTTAAAAAAGAGAATTAAAAAAATTTCACTCTCATTCTCCTTATTGAAACACAACATTCTCTCTCATGTTCTCCTTGTTCATTCTAAGCACTATTATTTTTATCTTTATGACTTGAATTAAAGGTGTAAGAACTCAACTAAGAATAATGTAAAGTTTTATCAAATAAAAAAGATATAGGTATTTGAATTTTTCAATATAAAAAATATAAATTTTATAAGTTTTAACGTTATTTATATATATATATATATATATTTGTTATTATTTATTATTATGTAAATTTTATTATTGTTCTAAATTATAATTTCTTAAAATAATGTATTGATTTATATTATTAAATTAAAATAATATATATATATATATATTGAATTATTGACAAACAAATAATAATCTTATTGTTAAATTTATTAAAAAATTTATTTTAAAAAATAAATTATTTTTTTCTAAATTATGGCGAGCTAAAGGCGGGACGGACCAAAAGGAGACGAGGCCGACTGTTTTGTCATCCCTACTTATCTTTCTCGCTTTCTCTTTTTTTTTGCTCTCTTTCTCTTCCTCCCTCTCTCTTTCTTTCTCTTTCTCCCTTTCTCTTTCTATTTCTCTTTCCTTCTATCTCTTTCTATTTCTATTTCTCTTTCATACTTCCTTTTCTTCGTACAAATCTTCCCCCTTCCCTTTTTATAGCAATTTTTTTTCTTTTTATTTATTTAATTACGTAACCATTAATTATGATTTTGATAAGATTTATCTTTTAAGATAAGATAACTTTATCTTTTATATATATATATATATATATATATATATATATATTAAGAAAATTAATAATTAATAATTTTCTTTTCTTTCATTTTTATAAATATAACAAATATATATATATATATATATATATATTATAGTAACAAATTTCTTTTAATATATGCTTATTTTATTATAAATATATTTAAATTTTTGAGATGTTACATATTCTCATTTTGGTAAGGCATAGAGTCAAAATGTTATTAAGTTTAAGAGTGATTTGGAACTCTTAGCTAGACAACATGTTTATATTATTATTTCATATTGGAATGATGTTAAGGATGAAATTTAAGACTTTCTTAACACGAAAATATGTATTTGAAAAGTATTAAGATGAATCTCCCTTTCTAAAGTATCATATTAGTGAAGAGGATTGGTTAACGTTTTTTGCCAATTAATTAAACTCTTCTTAGAGGTTAGTTGTTAGCAATTTTTATATTAATAATATTTTATGTATTACTCAAATTTTCTTATTTGTAATGTAGGATGGATAACTAGCTGTCCATGAACGTTAAAAGTTTAATGATGCACTCATATATTATCGTGGAGTAAGGGATGAGTATGCATTGTTAGAACAGCTACTCATGAATTAAAATATTTTTATTCTAATATGAATATTTTTTTATACAAATTCTAAATGTTAAATAAAAATAGAAATACATATAAAAAAACGCCAAAGTATATGTTAAGTAGTATTTTATCCGACGTAAATTGTCGACCTTACCTCCAAAGTAAATTTCCGTCAAGTAAGACACTACTCGATATAAATGTTGACATTTATTTTAATTTTATCAAACCCTTAGGTCTATTCTTCTATAATTCTGTTATAAATTTATATTAATGTTTATATAATCCAATATCAATTTATATCAATTAAAATTAAACGTAAATTTATATTTCTCAGTGGAACCTTAGTGTGATGTACAAATCCAAAAGTAATAGACTAAAAAAAATTACTATACTGTAAATAATTTTTTATATCCTAAACTTAATTATATATAAATAAAATAAATATATAATTTTATAAAAATTATGTATTTATAACACTGGTATATACTATTATTCGAGGACAACAATATAATTTACAAAATATATTTGTGGATTCATATAAAATTTCAATTGACGTGTTCTTGATCAATTGAAATATATTTTATTTAACACACTTTATTTGATAAAAATTAATCAGAGATGTTGACTATCTCTTCATGACTTTAGAAATTGGGAAAATAACATTATAATTTTTTCCTAAATCATTGGAATATATATCTATTTTATTAGATCCAAAAGTCTCATAACTTAAGAATTAAATTAAGAATAACTTATAAACTTTTTTTCTCGATACACCTTTAAATTAAATCATTATAAAAATATTTCGTTTCAAAATGAATAACCTCATAAATGTACTAATTAACTATAATAATATAGTATCTTAGAGTTTAGACAATGTTTTAGATGTGAATTTATATTGAGCAGATCATAATTGAACAATTTTTTCTATAAATATTAAAAAATAAATCTCTATAAATTAAATTATAATATAAGATAATTTATATATTTTTAATTTGTGTATAAGTTAATTTAAATTATAAAAAAATAATTATTTTTGTCCTCCTAAAAATACTTTTTAGAAAATTTTATTCAAACCTACGTTAAATATAATCAATGAAATATTTAAATGAAATTTTCATTTTGATTCCATCTAAAATGAAAGATACATATCAAATATTAAATTAATAAACTTTAAAATATACTTATAAAAAATTTAATAAAGAAAAAGTAGAATGTTTATTTTTTAAAAATAGAAAACTATTTAATGAAGAATAACTATTATACTAAAAAAATATAATATTTATTATTAACATTGATATATATATTAAAAAAATTAAAATGTAAAATAAAATTTTATATTAATAAAAATAATGAAATTAAATAAGTAAAATAAATCTATAAATATAATATCTTAAAATTTTAAATTAAAAATATAGTGTATTCTTATGTATGATTCACTTATATCTTATTTATAAAAATCTCTCACTATTAATTCTTTCCTTCTTAATACTTTCACAAATAATATATTAATCATGTGAAGGTAGTTCAAGCAAATCAGTTGAAGTTACTCCATAAAAATGTGGAAGCAGCCACAAGTCAAACCAAGTCGTCGTCATTTCTAACTCTTCATGTTTGCCTCGTCGTGCACTTTTCTTTTACCATGAAATTGTTCCAAGAGAAAAACATCACTAATTAACATGCATATTATAATATATGGAACCGTGATCAACCCAAACACCTTGGTCCTTCACATGTTCACGTAATAATTTTGGAAATGCAGAAATCATATTTGTTTTATTCACAGTCAAATGAACTTTTGTTCTTCTGCCACATGCAAAATTTAAACTAGAATTTCCACGAAGAATCTAGACACTCAATAAAATAAATAAAATATCAATTATATATATATATATATATATATATATATATATATATATATATTTATTTAGTTCGAAAACCTGTATTGTATTCTTAATCAAAATATATTATAATTAACGAATTGAGTAAATTTAACCAATGCGACTTTTCATAATTTATAAATTTTATTTCTGATAAAAAAAATATTTGAAAGCGAACGAAAATATGTCTTAATAAATACTTTTCTTTACATTAAAAAAAATAAAAAACAAAAAATACAAGCCGTCATTGCTAATCTTTTCTTCGTGGAAGATGCACGTGAAAATTTTAGCAATGATCAATATACGTTTCTCTCATTAAAAAGCAACAAATTGACATTGAAAATTTCTACTTAGATTTTATGTCGTTGAAAAAATTAGATTACAAGAAGATACCAAAGAATACACATTGATAATATAGTTCTTTATAAATATTGATTCATAGATAATTAAAAAAATAAAATTAATCATTTGATTATATATATATATATATATATATATATATATTCTTATTTATAAATTTTTTATTGATGATGTATTTAAAATAGAATATTATTTTTCTTGTAGATGCATTTATTCATGCAGTTGCGTATAGTGGAGTGCCTAGGAAAAAAAGTGATTGTGAGAAACAGTAGTCCCTGAAAGTGACCCTTAATAGACAAGGGGATTGTATTTGTTTATATTTAAATATAATAAGTTATTTAGTTTAATTTAATTTATTTTACTAAGGAAGAATTAATTTTCAAAACTGATTAGTTTTTAATCTTAAATTGATTTTCTTCTATTTTTTAAGTCGGTTTAATTTTAAACCTTCCATGAATTTTCACAAATGAAAGAAAAAATTTATTAATATTTATATTGCTTTTTATTTTAATATTATATCAGAACAAATGAAAAAAAAATTAATAATTTTATTTTATTTCAATTATTATATCAGTACAATTAGTATTTTTACTATTGATTAAAAAAAATTGTACAATGAATTATTCAACTAATGTAATATGAATATATACATGTTAATATCAAATTCATAACTCAATCTAATTAAAAAAAATTAAATTAAATTGAGTTTTTTATTTTTATTTTATTTAATGCAATTTAACTCCATTATTCATCCGATTAAGTTGAATGAATTATATCAAAGATTTTAAAAATGTAATTTTTTATTAAATTTTTTAATTTTTATATATTTTAAAAAACAAACTATATTTTTTTAAATAATTAAATATTTAAAAATATATATTTAATTAATATAATAATTAGATAAATTAAATAATAATTTTATTATTATTCATGTTAATATTATTTAGTAAATTAAATCAATAAGGTTATGTGAAATTAAACATATAAATTCTATGTATAATTTATAAGATATTAAACTAGATTAGATTAAGTTTAATTATACATGTATATAAACTTAGTTTAATAGTGGAATTGAATACACATTTATTAAATTATAACTTGTGTTGGTGGAGTAAAAAATTAAGCAAAAGTGCAATATATAAATGTTGGATAGTAAATACATTACCGTCAAATTTCAGACACGTGGATGTGTCACGTGTCAAAGACTTGACTTGGAAATTATATACTTTGATATGCTATTTTCTTCCCATGTAGTTGGTAGTTTACGTGTCACGTACCTTTCGTTTCTTTCCATGCCATCCGCAGGAGTAAGATATGTTTCAATATATGCTTAAAACAGAAATAAAATCATAGAAGCTAAAGATTTTAACTAATATATCTTTAAATAATATTACTTGTTTTATTTTTCCTTCTTTATTTTGCTTTTACCAAACAAACCAAATTTTATTTTCATTCAAAAAGTTATACAGTAAATTACATATAATGTCTCCTAATGATAATTATGTAAGTCTTTATATTTACCAATGTAATGTAATTATAACAGACTTTGGTGAAAGAGTTGTGTGAATAGTTTAACATCATTTAATATGGTTGTACAAAATAATTAGAGGGAACGCAGTGGATGTGTAATTGTATTAAGAATTTGAAGAGTTTAGGAAAAAAGTGTCCCTTATAATTAAGGGAAAGTTAATTGGTGCAATAGTACCATAGTGATGATGATGATGATTAAGACCTAAATTAAATTAAATCCGCAAACGTATATATCAATGGCTATAAGCAAAGTTGGTTATATTTCCTTGCTAGCATACCATTTCAGCACTTGGATACAAGATGCAATAAATTTAAGTGTTGAATTTGAGGCACTTGCAATTTCTTTTAAGTAAGCCAAGTCAGGTACTACCACACTACCACCATCCTTTGCCACTCCCTTTGCTTGTGGGGACTTTGCATTTCCCAGTTTGGTAATTGCCACTTCTCTTCCTCTCCTAAATATCCACACTTCTTCTAGTCAATAGGACAGCGACCTACAATACTCACCCCGACATTAATTCAACCTAAAATCTTACTATACCAAATTCCTTCATGTTTTCTTATTTAATTCTCATCTTTCAAGTTTTTGACAAAATTAATTCATCTTTTACTAATTATATTCTTTTTTTTAAACTTATATATTTTACACTTGTCAAACTCTCAATATTATAATTTAAGCATGAATTGAAATTATATATTAAATGTAAATGATAAAATTAAGTAATTAGTTAATGTTTCAAGTTTTACATAAAAAATAATATCAAGTTTTTTCTTGTCGATAAAAGCATCATAATTGCTTAATGTGATGTTTAAATAGTTGCGTGAAATAATCTTATATAAAAAGGAATCCTATGTAGTATAATAAGTGTTTATTTTTATTTTTTTTATAGTTATGAAGTAACTTATAAAAATAAACAAATTAAATTAAATAATAAGAAAAAATAAGAGAAAAAAATGAATTTTTTAAAGTTTATTAAGAAAATTTTTAATCAAATAAAATTAAAAGTAAATTGTTTAAAAATGATGTAGTATCTTACATTCTTCTTTTACTTTTTTTTTAAGATAAAAAATAACTTACGTGATTTGTTATGTTGGAGATGGCTTAAGAATATCTTAATATTAATCCTCTCAAAAATATCCATCACCCAAAATCCCATTTTTTCCTATTACTGAGATCCCCACAGTATAAAAGGCCTGCGTGTCTAAATGTCTCAGCACTTGTTCTTTAGTCTACAATATATGTTCATAGTGAGAATTGCAGAGTCGAAATTAGAAAAAATATGCTTTATCTGCTCTCATCGTGTGTGTGTATACCACGTGCAATTTCGGTTCAACCAAGCACAGATCACAGCAGGTGCCCATCTATTCTTTTAACAAGATCATTAAAATGATCATCTTTCTACAAATATTTTCACTGCTTAATAAGTTATGCAGCTACTCATTCATATTATATACTTTGTTTTTTGTAGTTCCAAGTCTGACAGAGCGCAGAGAATTGGTGAGTTAAGAGGATACTTTGTACATGTAGCAATTTTATGGAGTTCCTTCAATGTTGTTTTCATTTACTATTAATTTGGGTTTTAGACATTTTTATTGATTTTGCTTTCTTCAAACTGACATTCTATACCTATATAGAGTATCTCACAAAAATCCCTCGGAGTGTCAACTTGGAGAGCCTGCAGAATGGGTATTTGTTTCCTGAGGTCTGTGATTTTTTAATTTTCCTGCCTCTTAACAAGTGTTTGACATATTCTGGCTTTGTTTAAAATGGTGTGATTTTTTACCACTTTTAGATATTAGACAAGTTTGCTTAAAAACTTATTAATTAGTTGAGTTCTGTTTAAATAAACTTCTCCATCAATGCTTACACAAGAAAATTAATTTATACATACTAGTTTTGGGAAATATCAGAGAAGAGAGTTCCTAAAAAAAAGTTAATTTTTGACTAATGAAAGTTTTATTCTTTTTTCGTCTGAGCGCTTACAAGAACTCTATCTAAACAGTGCTTTAAGCTGTTCTACCATTAGCTTAGTGGCAATTTTTGGATTCCATTTTCAATTATGATGTAGCTTTATAGTCTTATTACCTTATTATATCTTATTCTTAACCAGATATCCATGCGAGAGTCTGATTATGCTCAAAGGAATCCACATGCAAGATTGATAAGACTTGGAATTGGTGATACTACACAGCCAATACCAGACATTATAACTTCAGCTATGGCGGAGGTAATAATTACACGAAAGGGGTCAATATATTTATTCTTTGCATCTAAATAAACTCCACTAAATAAAGGGAACGTGGAAAGGGATTGGTAGGTTGAGTTTTTTTTAATAATAATTTGCTTTTCGGAATTACATAAGAGGCACAATTCGACAAGTCCAACTTGAGAATTGATGTATCATGTCTCTTTTCTACCCTTTACGCACAAACTGCTAGATAAAGAGGACTTGGAGCCTAAGGAACTTGAATATCCGAGAAAATGAGTATGACCCTGCATCAACATTACCATTTGACTCCTGCCACCATGTAATTTAACTTTCAAAAAAAGTTGCCACATATCAAGGGAAGCTTTACCTTAATGTTGCTAGTAACGTAAAGAATCGCCTGAGTTCCTTCATATTCATGTCTCTAAATTTATCTGTTGACATAAACAGAAGTTGGAAAAAAAAAACAAGACATTCCACTTAAAATTTTCTTTAACCTGGTAGATTAACTACTTTGCAATGAACAATTTGAGCCATTCAGGGGAAAAATGTTTAATTTGGGTGAAGTTTGTATCCAGTGAATCACAGAGAAATGGGATAACAAAAGAACAGAGTATATAATATATTGTTTTGCAGCAAGCAATGGCTCTGTCAACAGCACAAGGCTATAAGGGTTATGGGCCTGAGCAAGGCTACAGGGTAAACTGCCCCTGCTTGTTTCTGGTTCGATTAAATTGTCCTGCTTATCCTCCTGCTTTTGGAACTCATGTTCACAGAACTTCATGGACTTTTCAGGAGCTAAAAAGGGCAATAGCAAAAACCTTTTACCAAGATATGCAAGTGAAAGAAAATGAGATTTTTGTATCTGATGGTGCCCAGTGTGATATTTCTCGCGTTCAGGTAAGGGACCTTGTTTCCTAGATTGATGAGGGCCTGGCTTGCAACAAATAAAAGAAATTGAAGGAGCCTTTTTGTTTAAATTTCAACTATTAAAATATAATAATTACTTATTTCTGCTATACTCGCATGTAGATGCTTCTGGACGCTAGTTTGTCAATAGCTGTGCAGGATCCAACTTTTCCGGTAATTACTTTTTTATTCATATTGAAATTTGATCTGAAAAGAAGAATTTTTAAGAAATAAGAAGTGTTCTGAAGGAATGAAGTGATGAATGATGACAGGGTTACGTAGATTCCAGCGTGATTGTTGGTAGGGCTGGAAGGTTGAATGCAGGGAGTGGAAAGTACAAAAAGATTGTGTACATGAAGTGTGGACCAGAGAATAATTTCTTTCCAAACCTATCAACAACTCCAAAGACTGACTTGATTTTCTTTTGTTCTCCAAACAATCCAACTGGTAGTGCTGCGTCTCGGCAGCAACTTGAGCAACTTGTGGAGTTTGCAAAAGCAAATGGGTCTATCATCATTTATGACTCTGCTTATGCTGCTTACATTTCAGATGAAAGCCCTAGATCAATTTTTGAAATTTCTGGAGCCAAAGAGGTGGTCATAGCCTTCAATTACCTTCATAGTAATAGGTCAATCATAAATGGCTTCCACCAAAATTTAAATTGATTTACTTAATTTTTTTATTACAATCCTTGAGACATAGCAGCAGCCATGACATGTATGCTTTGTGTGCAGGTGGCAATTGAAATTTCATCATTTTCCAAATTTGCTGGGTTTACTGGTGTCCGGCTGGGGTGGACAGTAGTGCCAGAAGAGTTGTTGTATGCCAATGGTTATCCTATGATAAGGGATTATGATCGCATTGTCTGCACCTGCTTCAATGGTGCATCTAATATTGTTCAAGCTGGTGGACTTGCATGCCTTTCTCCACAAGGATTTCAGGTTTCATTCTACCTTCTTTCTGTCAGGTGCCTTATCGATTTCAAAATCGACCCTTTTGAAGAATGGACTTGGTCATGAAACTTATTTGTTTTTGTCCACTCGCGTTTTTTCAGGCATTGAAAACAATAATGCAGTATTACATGGAAAATGCAAAGATACTTGTTGAGACGTTTGAGTCAATGGGCCTAAAAGTGTATGGGGGCAAAAATGGGCCTTATATATGGGTGCATTTTCCAGGGTTGAGTTCATGGCAAGTCTTCAACCAGATTCTTGAGAGAGCAGCCATTGTCACTGTCCCTGGAATAGGGTTTGGTCCTGGGGGCGAGGGCTATATTAGAGTTAGTGCCTTTGGTCGCAGAGAATCTGTGTTGGAAGCTTCGAAGAGATTGACAAAACTACTATAAAAAAATTATACATTTATGTGTTCAGTATTGACCATTATTCGCTTATGGTAGATGAGTTTACTCAAAATATTAGAAACATTACGCTTCGATTGCTTAACTAATTTTAGCTCAATTATCATAACTTGGTTATCATTTAATGTCTGCATAATAATGTATAAAAGTTGAATCAAGAGTTTCATATAACGATAAGTTAGTTCCTTCTTCATTTTAAAATTGCTGAAGTATTTTGCACCGGTATGGAAAGTTCGAATATTCGTTGGAGTAGTTAGAATTTTGGGATGAAGTGCGTGTTTGAGAAATAGTTTGGTCCTCCTACTTGACCAGCCATATAAGTAAATGATAAGAGAGATTCTTTTTTATCGAGTGTGTCAGAGAGTAAAAATGTTTGCTTGCAATGGTTTGAACGGCATTAAAGCACACCCTAAAGCCTGTAAGAGGTTCTTTGCGATAAATCTAGTGAAATTAGACTGAATTAGTATCTTGGTTTTTAAGGGTTTATTTGATTTTCAAGATGAATATGAAGGACCGGAAATTAGTGGATTTAAAAGAGAAATAGTGAAATTGGGGTCTCTTGAATTAAGGAAAAATTGATTAAAAACGAGAAAAAATAAGACAAAAATTTATGAGTAATGTAATTGATTTAACAAATTAAAAAATTAATATTTAATTGATAAAATTATGATATTTTAATTTTATCTTTATTTTAAATTAAGATTTTATAATAAAATATAATTTATATAAATAATGTTAAAATTAGATGTGATATTTAAAATATAAAAATTTAAGTATATGAATTTATAATAAAATAAAATACAATTGTTAAAAATTAATTTAGAATAAAATTTACATAATTTCTTTAAATGAAATAAAAGTGTAATATTAATCAATAAAATTATTTTAAATTAAATATAAAAATAATTTAAATTGAAGTAATAATAGTTTGTTAAAAAAATATAATATCATGATAAATTATGAATTTTATTATATTCAAATTATAATTAAATACAAATTTATTTCATTGAGTACTTTTTTTATATTCATAGTGTTAAATAAATTATTAGGAATAAAATTTGATAGAATAAACTGTATATTAAATTCAAAAAATTATAGGAAAAATATGTAATAAATAATTACAAAGTTAAAAAAAAAATTCGAATTACTTGGTCATATATAATAAATAATTTAAAAAAAACATAATAAGAAAACTATTTAATTCAGAATGAAATTGATCAAAATAATATCATAGCAGAACGGTGAACATATTGTTAAACGAAATAATTACTAATGTTATGTATTAGGTAATCATTTGAAACATAAATATTAAATAATTTGTAAAGTATTAATAATAAGCCTAAATAACTCATGGGCCTGATAATTGGGCCATCGCTGGTACTGTATTACAAAATGTTGCTCCGAAATGGTCAACTTTTTCTGTCAAGCTTCAATTACTTGGTCACCAAGTTTGACTACCAAACAAAAGACGACCGCGGTGAGCAAACAATCAAACACATGATACAATTTTTTTAATAATTTGATTAATTTATTTTGACTCTTTTACTTGTGTGCCAAGCCAATCTAAAACAGACATGCCAAATTGCCTATAAATCAAATCCACCCCTGCATTAATCATGCACTCCAAAGTTTAGTGCACATTATTGTGTAGCAGATACACAGAGAAGATGGTAGGTGGTGTTGAACTTGCCGAAGCATATGTGTTGCGGAAGCAACACAAGGAGAAAATGATGGAATCAGAAAAGGGAAGAAGCAAGATGAGTATGCATGGTGCCAAGACCAATAGAACAAGTGGATGTTTCTCTTGGTTTCCAAAAAGACTCAGAAGACATACACCATGCAATGAGAGAGAGTTGATTAAGGTTTCAGCAAATCCATGAAAACTGTATGTTTTGCCGAGACATTGTTACATAATCTGGTTGTAATATATGAATGTTGTGTGTTTTGAGATTTTTGGGGTTAGAAGTTACATAAGGGTGAAACTTAGTATCATAGTATATGCTGAAGTTTTCTAAATTTTTTATGGAATGTAGGTGATAATGTAAATTATCATGTAGTTTTCTTACGTTCTTAATTCATTATGGAAAACTACTCTACAGGATCTTTAGTTTATTAATTTTCACAATATAACATACATCATTACATGAATCATAGTAAGAAGACAAACCTTGATCCATGAGAATCTATTATTTAATCTTTTCGTTCTTCAATTTCTTTTTCCCAATCTATCTCTTTGTCTTTCTTTCTCTTCTCACGCTTTTTTGATGGTTTACCGTGAAAAAAATCTTAATCTTATGACCAGAGACATAACCCTTATTCCATTTTATTAATCAACGTCCATCAAGTTGGTTACCGTAAGTTAATATTTTATTTTATTTTTATTTTATTCTAACTTCACATAATAACCAATAGGTCTTCATATTTTATTAAATCACATTTTGGCTCATTATTATATTTCACATGAGTCACATAATAGAATAAATTAATTCTAACATTCTCCCACTTGACTCATATGATGTCATACGATTCTGTGATTTAATACTTAAGTCATAATGTGCATTAAAGGACCTTACATAAATTGGTTCTATCATTATTCATAATTAAAGATACAACTATAACAAGGGTCATGACGGTTACATGTCATTCAATCGACAGACTCCCTTCCATGTACCATTATATTATCTTTTTCTCCTTAATATGACTTTATAATGAGAAGTCCATAATGGGTTCAAACATAATATCATTTTAATAATAATAACATAATTTGTTTTCTTCATCATAATTTGCATGCATATAAATAAAGAAGAAAACACAAATTTCAAAAACTTATACATTAAAGATCTCAGAGTGTCACATAAACATTAATAATAACATTAACATTCAACATTCACTACTAGTAAACATAATGTCCATATTTACTATATGACCAGCAAACAACTTGGGCGGTAATCCCTTTGTTAAAGGATTAGCAATCATAAGATCAGTGCTAATATGTTCTATTGACACTTTCTGTTTCTGAACTTCCTCTTTAACGGCAAAGTATTTCAATTTCATATGCTTAACACCTTTGGAATACTTGTCGTTCTTAGAAAAGAAGACTGCTGCGGAATTGTCACAATAAATTTTTAGCGGCTTGACAATGCTGTCGACTACTCCAAGTCCTGAAATAAAATTTTGCAACCAATTAGCTTGAACTGTGGCCTCAAAGCATGCCACAATTTCAGCTTCCATGGTGGATGCAACAATGACAGACTGCTTCGCACTTTTCCATGAAATCGCTCCTCCGGTTAAAAGATACACATAACCAAATGTAGACTTTCGTGTATCCATACAACCAGCAAAATCTGAATCTATATATTCAATCACCTCAAGGTGATCAACTTTCTTATAAGTAATAATGTGATTCTTTGTTCCTTGTAAGTATCTTAAAACTTTCTTTGCAGCCTTCTAATGATCCAGTCCAGGATTACTCTGGTATCTACCCAGCATACCAACTGCAAAGCTAATATCTGGCCTCATACATGTTTGAGCCTACATCAAACTCCCAACAACAAATGCATAAGGGATATTTTCCATCTGTATCCGTTCCAAGTCATTCTTTGGACATTGCATGAGACTAAATTTGTCTCATTTTTATATTGGAACGGGAGATGCTGAACACTTCTCCATTCTGAATCTCTCTAAAATTTTATTAATATATGTTTTCTGAGACAAACCTAACACTCCTTATGATCTATCACAGAATATCTCTATTCCTATCACATAGTATGCCTCACTCATATCTTTCATTTTAAAGTTGTTAGAGAGAAACTTCTTAGTCTCACTTAATAGACCAAGATCATTAGTCGCAAGCAAGATATCATCAACATACAAAATCAGAAATATAAACTTGCTCCCACTGACCTTCAGATATATACACCGATCAACAGTGTTTTCCTTAAATCCAAAGGACATAATAATATCATTGAACTTAAGATACCATTATTGAGAAGCTTGTTTAAGTCCATATATTGATTTCTTAAGTTCACACACCATATGTTCATTTCCTTCTTCAATAAACCCCACTGGTTGATTCATATAAACATCCTCCTCTAAATCTCCATTTAGAAAAGCAGTTTTAACATCCATTTGATGCAACTCAAGATCATAATGAGCTACTAATGTCATGATAATTCTAAAGGAATCTTTCTTAGAAACAGGTGAAAATATTTCCTTATAATCAATGTCATCTTTCTGAGTAAAATCTTTGGCAACAAGACGGACCTTGTAACGTTCGATATTACCATGAGAGTCACGCTTAGTCTTAAAGAGCCATTTACACCCAACACTCTTGCATCCTTCTGGAAATTCCACAAGATCTCATACACCATTATGTGACATTGATTTAAGCTCATCTTTTATAGCATCTAACCATTTGTCAGAATTATCACCATTAATGGCGTGTGAAAATGAAACTGGGTCATTATCAATATTTAGGTCATTTTCTGACTCTTGTAGATAAACTACATAATCATTCGAAATAGCAGACTTTCTTTCTCTGTGAGACCTTTTTAATACTATTTCTTGTGGTTGTTCTATTATCGGTTCATTGTTAATCTCGGTATCATTAATTTGTTATTCTTCTTGATTGTCGTGTTGTTCTACAACATGTGGAACAACAACTATTGAAGAAGATGTACTAGTTACATGAACTTGTACTCTAGCGAATGACGCGTTTCCCAAATTTATTTTATATCATTATATAAATAAAATTATAAAGATTATATTCTGTCATTAAATTACAAACTCATATAAAGATACTTACTCACAAATTTAGCATCAAATTTTGAAAACCAACTCGACACACACTTTTACTTTCGAGTTTGCCCTCACATCCAACATATAAATATATAACTATATAAATATATCAAAATATATAAATATATTTGTATTTATATATTTACACGGATATATATTTATTTGTATATAAATATAATTTATTTGTAAGT